TAAGACCCTCCTCCTCCTCCTCCTCCTCCTCCTCCTCCTCCTCCTCCTCCTCCTCCTCCTCCTCCTAGCAGCGGTTGCGGGGCAGCAGAGCGGGCAAGGCGGGCCAACACTTCCCTTCCAATTCCCCGTTGGACGGTGTGGATCCCAAATGTCCAGTGGGCAATGGGGTATGCCCCCCCGATGATCCATGTGATGATGGGATTCCCACTGCCATTTGGGCGATCGGAGCTCAATTCCCCCGTCTCGGCCTGGCTCCCCCCCCGACTGCCCACTCAAGGGCTCCCAACTTCGCGCTCCGCGCTGCGCGAAGCGCGAAGTGCGAATAGGAGGAGGAGGAGGAGGAAGAGGAGGAGGAGGAGGACGAGGAGGACGAGGTGGAGGAGGAAGAGGAAGAAGTAAGCGAGGAGAGGGAGCGGCGGGGAGAGGGCCCGCCTGGACTTCAGCTGCCGACGCCTCTGCCGCAGCCGCTCCACGCGACGCAGCTGGCTCGCCTGGCGCGGCCCGCAGCGCGCAACAAGGGGCCAAGCCGAGCAGCAGAGGCGAGCCGAAGCACAGCTCAAAACGGAGGGGTAGGAGGAGGAGGAGGAGGAGGAGGAGGAGGAGGAGGAGGAGGAGGAGGAGGAGGAGGAGGAGGAGGAGGAGGCGAGGGAGGAGGAAGAAGCACGAGGAGGGAGGGGTGAGGAGGAGGAGGAGGAGGAGGAGGAGGAGGAGCAGCAGGAGGAGGAGTAGGAGGGGAGGCGGAGAGGTGAAGGAGGAGGAGGAGGAGGACGAGGAGGAGGAGGGGTAGGAGGAGGAGGAGGAGGAGGAGGAGGAGAAGGAGGAGGAGGACCAGTGCAAACCCAAGACTGATCAACGATGTTGGGATAGACCCTCCCGCCAAGCTCCTCCTTCACAGACCCCAAACAAAACTCATTTCCATTGAGGGACGTGTGAAAATCCTGAAGCGTGCCAAGGGATCGTTCTTAGGACTTCAACGCCACAAGTCAACCTGACTGTTGCGTCTGGACGATCCTGAATCGTGCCAGAATACCTCTCGTGGGACTTCGATACGGCGAATAAACGAAACTGTTGCGCCCTGACAATCCCTCATCGCTCGAGAACACCATTTCTAGAAGGTTGAACATGCGAATTTGCTAAACTCACGCAATTTCTTAAACGAATGCACGTGGCGCTAGGGCGAAAACCACATGTTGAAAACGAACCGCCCTCAATCCGTGAAGCTCGTTCAATTTAAACTAAAAAATAAACAACAACAAAAAATACGAATGTGCGCGGCATTGAGGCGAGAACCACAGTTTGAAAACGAACCGCCCTCACTACGTGAAACCCCTTCAGTTGCTTTAAACGAATGTGTGCGGCGCTAAGGCGAAAACCACATTTTGAAAACGGCCCACCCATGTTTAAGACGAATGTGCGCGGCGCTGAGGCGAAAGCCACATTTTGAAAACCACCCGCCCTCCATTTTGAAACTGCTGCCAGTTCCTAAACTTCAGGCTTATACATTGAGAGAAAGTTTCAAGCGAACCGCCTGGCCCTCCCTTCCGACTGGCCTCGCGGTGCGACAGGGAGGAGGAGGGGGAGGAGGAGGAGGAGGAGGAGGAGGAGGAGGAGGAGGAGGAGGATCCACCTTCCTTCCATTATGTTGCCATCCCCCCTTGTTCCCTCTCCACGCCTCCTCGCTCTCATCTCCTCCTTACCCTCGGCCTCGTGTGCCCAAGGGACGATGAGCCCGAAGGACGGCTCCCACCGTCGGGCATGCGTGGGCCCGGCGCTCGCCCAGCAGAAGGGGCTTGACCCTTCCTCCGTGGACAGAGCCGAGAGGAGCCGAACCCAGCCCCCTCCCCATGCCCTCTGGCGGCGGCAAGCACCTCCCGTCCCACTCCCCCAACCCCGCCTCGCCTGCCTGCCTCCCTCGCCCCTCTCCGTGCGCCTCCTCTCTCCGCCTCCCCCCTCCGCCTGCCCGTCGGGGCCCCTCCCCCTCCGCTCCCCCGTCCGCCTCCGCCCTCGGCCGGAGCGGCGACGGCAGCAGGGGCCCAGACCGTGGCCGAAGCAACGGCCCCGTGGGCTCCTTCTCGAGGCAGCGAGCGGCCGGGGGGGAAGGCCGCAGGGGAGGCCACAGGGGCAAGGGGGGGGGGCCAGGGCGACGGGCCAGGGGGGCAGGGGGGCAGAGGGTGGAGGGGGAGAAGGGCGGCCAGGGGGGCCTGAACTGGCTGGGGCCCCAGAACCTCTGTCAGGAGGGGGGATGAAGCCAAAATCGGTCCCAAAGTCCATCTGGTGCAGCGTTTCGCCCCGGATCCGCTTCTGATGGTCCCTGAACCCGAAAACGGCACCCGACGGCCAAAAAGGGCAAAGAAACAGTCTCGAACCAAGAACCTCGAACCTCACCCCCGTTCCTGCTGTCCAGAGCCAGTGCTGGGCCACCTCAGACCCCAGCTGACTCCGAGGAGGGGGAGGGAGGCGGATGTGTACGAGTTCTGCCATGGCCCAGGCCCACTTCCAAGACTGCCGACTGCCATGGGAGGGATTGGCGGCGCCCCCGCCCGGAGGGAGGATCCTCGTGCTCGTGCAGCCGTCTGGCCAGCTCTTCCGACGGCTGCCCTGCGAACAGCTCGGCCTCGCCGAAGGATCCCCCTGCTGCTCCCGCCTACCGCCTGCCACCGTCCGCCTCCCCCCTCGCGCCTCCTCGCTCCTCTTCGCTTCTCCTCGCTCTTCCTCGCTCCTCCTCCTCCTCCTCATCATCATCCTCCTCCTCATCCTCATCCTCATCCTCATCCTCGTCCTCATCCTCATCCTCATCCTCATCCTCATCCTCATCCTCATCCTCATCATCATCATCATCATCATCATCATCATCATCATCATCATCATCATCATCATCATCATCATCATCATCATACATCATCATCATCATCATCATCATCATCATCATCATCATCATCATCATCATCATCATACATCATCATCATCAGCAGGCAGCTCATGCTCATCATCATCATCATCCGCATCAAGCAGCATCATCCTCATCATCATCATCATCCATCATCATCATCACAGCAGCAGCAGCAGCATCATCATCCATCAGCAATCCATCATCATCATGCAGATCATCATCATCATCACCATCACATCATCATTTCATCCCATCATCATCAGCACAGCAGCATATTTATCATAATCATCGTCATCATCATCATCATCATCATCATCATCATCATCATCATCATCATAATCTCATCATCATCATCATCATCATCATCATCATCATCATCATCATCATCATCATCATCATCATCATCATCATCATCATCATCATCATCATCATCATCGTCATCATCCTAATAATAGTCCTAAGAATCATCATCAGCATCATCATCCCTCTCCCTCCCTCCCACCCCCCCTCCCTCCCTCCCTCCTCCTCCTCCTTCTCCTGTTTCTCCTTCTCCTCCTCCTCCTCCATCCCCTTCCCTTACAAATAACTCCTCCCTGTCGCACCCCGAGGCCGGTCGAAAGGGCGGGCCGGGCGTTTCGCCTGACTCTTCCTTACCACTTATGAAGCTGCAGCTGGAAAACTCACAACAGCTTTACAAATGGGTGCCTCTCGCCTTAGCGCCGCGCACGCTCGTCTTCTAAATTTGCCAGTGCTTCAAGGATTGAGGGCATGTGGTTTTCAACATGTGCCTCTCGCCTTAGCGCCGCGCACATTCGTCGTCAAAATTCGTCAGTGCTTCAAGGATTGAGTGCAGGTGGTTTTCAAAATGTGTCTCTCGCCTTAGCGCCGCGCACATTCGCTTTGATATATTGAAAGAGCTTCACGGATTGAAGGCGGGTGTTGTTCTAAATGTGTCTCTCGCCTTGAAAAAAATTACGGATTGACAGTCGTTGAATTCAATGCTAGGGAGATTCACGAATGTACGGCGCTTCCTTTTTAAAATGCGATTCTCGCCTTAGCGCCGCGCACGTTCTTGTCTTAGAGGTTTGCAAGAGCTTTACGGATTCTAATGGTTGGCGTACCAAAAAACTGTGTTCTCGAACGACCCAGGATTGCCAGGGCGCAATAGTTACGCGGATTCGCGGTGGTGAAGCCCCACGGATGGCGTTATAGCACGATTCAGGATCGTCAAGACACACAGTCAAGCTCATTCGTGGCGTTGAAGTCCCGAAAATATGCTGTGCCACACTTCAGGATCTTCAAACAGTCTCCAACGTGGCATTTCCTTCCGTGGAAATGAATCCATGTAGGGGCCTATGAAGACGAAGCTTGGGGAGGGTTATTCCAACATCGCTGATGGGTCTGCGGTTTACAATGGTCTTCCTCCTCCTCCTCCTCCTGTTTTCCCTCTTTTTCCTCCTCCTCCTCCTCCTTCATTCCTGCTCCATAGAAATGATACCGGAAAAAAAACAATCCGATTTCTTTAATATTCCAATTGCTCCCTTGTAGGGCTATAGAGCTATCGGGCTATAGGGCTATAGGGCTATCGGGCTATAGGGCTATAGGGCTATAGGACTGTGACCTATAGGGCCATAGGGCTATAGGGCTAGGGGACTATAGGGCTATATGGGCTATGGGGCTACAGGGCTATAGGGATATAAGGCTATTAGGGCTATAGGGATATAAGGCCATAGGGCTACAGGGCTATACGGCTAAAGGTCTATAGGGCTATAGGGCTATAGGGCTACTGGGCTGTTGGGCTATTGGGCTATTGGGCTATTGGGCACCCCCGGGCACCCGGGTACCCCCGGGCACCCGGGCACCCGGGCACCCGGGCCCGGCCACCGAAATCGGCCGGCCACGCACCTCACTGGCCACCCGGGCACCCGGGCACCGCCAGGCACCCGGGCACCCGGGCACCCGGGCCCGGCCACCGAAATCGGCGACGAACCTCACCTAACCCTTTCATCCGCTAGGACCCCTACAGAAGCAAGCTCTGATTGGGGAATAACTCCTCCCTGCCGCACCCCGAGGCGTGTCAATAGGGTGGGCCGGGCGTGTCGCCCGATACTTCCTCACCACCAATGGTCCTGGAACTTGAAAATTGCAACAGCTTCGCGGATAAAGGGCAGTCCGTTTTTTTAAATGTGGCCCTCGCCTCAGCACCCCGCACATTCGTCTTAATGCATTGGCAAGAGTTTAATTGATTGAAGGCGGGTCGGTTTCAAAATGTGGCACTCGCCTCAGCGCCGAGCACACTCGTTTGAAAAATTGAAAGAACTTCACGGATTGAGGGAGGGTCGTTCTCAACATGTGGATCTCGCCTTAGCACCGCGCACACTCGTCTTAAACACTTGCAAGAGTTTCACGGATTCCGATGTTTAACGTACCACGAACGGCGTTCTGGAACGACTCCGCATTACCAGGGCGCAATAGTTGCGCAGATTCGCGGTGCTGAAGTCCCACGAACGGCGTCCTGGCACGATTACGGATCGTCAAAGCGCAACAGTACATTGGTGGCGTTGAAGTCCCGAGAAAATTCTTGTGGCACGCTTCAGGATCTTCAAACGGTCTCCCAACGTGGCACTTCCTTCAGTAGAAATGAACCCTCTGTAAGGGCCTGTGAAGAGGGCCTCCTCCTCATCATCATCATCCGCGAAATCCTTGTCCTCCTCCCTCTTCCCCCTCCCCCTCCCCTCCTCCTCCTCCTCCTCCTCCTGCTCATCCTCCTCCTCCTCCTCTGCCTCCTCCTCCTCGTCATTTATCCGCCTCCTGGTCCTTATCAAAACAGCGGCATCTGGGCCAATGGCTCAGGCCAGGCCGAGAAACCTGGAGGAGCCTCCCGAGTGCGAGTGCAGCGAACACCCTCCTACTCCGGGAACCAGCTCTGCTGGGACAACAATTCGTGCCCAGTTTGGCAAAGTCTCCCCGCGTCCCAGCAACGCCACAGACTTGGCGCCAATCCCATCAGCCCTTTAGGGCGTGAGTGGTTTAGCGTTTTTGTTCCGTCCAACCCCTTTCTTCCTCTTCAGGGAGGGGCTACCCCTCCTCCTACCCCCCCCCCCCCCCTGGACCTGGGGGGGGGGTCGCGAGGGCTGGAGCGTCCAAGGTGGCCTCGGCGAGAAGACCAAAACCATTGATTTGACTGGGAGGCAACGCTAATTGAGGAGCTCCTCTTTTTGTAATCGATCTCCTCCCAGATGGCCCCAAGATGGCCCCCGAGCCTCCCAAGAGTGCCCCAAGACGGCCCCAAGAGGTGCCTATGAGTCCCCAAGAGACCCCCAAGAGGAACCCAAGATGCCCCCAAGATGCCCCCAAGGGGCTCCCAAGAGAAATTGAAAGGCGCCCCAAGAGGCCTCGGCGAGAAGACCTAAATCACTGATTCGACAAAGGTTTGGGCCACATGTCGGCCCCCTGGGTGGGCAACTCTAAAAGAGGAATTCCCCATTATGTGATCGATCTCCTCCAAGATGGCCCCAAGCAGCAGCCCTGGAGGCTCCCAAGAGTGCTCCAAGAGGGCCCCAAGAGTTGGCCAGGAGGCCCCAAGAGGCCCCCAAAGGCCCCCACTATGCCCCCAAAAGGTTCTCAAGAAACTCCTAAGAGGCCCCATTGAGCGACCCAGGACACCCAAAGAAGGCCCCCCTGGACTGCCAAGATACCCCGAAGACGCCCCAAGAGGATTCCAAGAAGATCTCGAAAGACATACGAAGAGACTCCGAGAGATATCCAAGAAGCTTCTGGCATCTCTGCTTGCCCTCCTCCTCCTCCTCCTCCTCCTCCTCCTCCTCCTCCTCCTCCTCCTCCTCCTCCTTTTATTCCTCCTCCGTTTCCTTTTCCTAGTCCTCCTCCTCCTCCTCCTCCTCATCATCCTCCTCCTATTCCCACCTCCTCCTTCTCCTCTCCTCCTCCTCCTCCTCGTCTCTTCATCCTCCTCCTCCTCCTCCCTCCTCCTCCTCCTCCTCATCCTCATCATCACATCATCATCATCATCATCATCATCATCATCATCATCATCATCATCATCACATCATCATCATCATCATCATCATCACAACCACCACCAACCACCACCACCACCACCACCACCAGCATCATCACATCATCATCATCATCATCTCATCATCATCATCATCATCATCATCATCATCATCATCATCATCATCATCATCATCATCATCATCATCATCATCATCATCATCATCATCATCATCATCATCATCATCATCATCATCATCATCATCATCATCATCATCATCATCATCATCATCATCATCATCATCATCATCATCATCATCTCATCATCAACATCATCATCATCATCATGATCATCATCGTCATCGTCATCGTCAATCATCATCATCATCATCATCATCATCATCATCATCATCATCATCATCATCATCATCATCATCATCATCATCATCATCATCATCATCATCATCATCATCATCATCATCATCATCATCATCATCATCATCATCATCATCATCATCATCCGCGAAATCCTTGTCCTCCTCCCTCCTCCCCCTCCCCCTCCCCTCCTCGTACAGACGAAGCCAACCCAACCCTGCTCCGCAGGGCTGGCGCGTAAAGTGGCGCCACTCACCGAAAGGGGGGTTTACCCCAGGAGGAGAGGGAGAACGAGGAGGGGGACGACATGGGAGGATACCAGCAGAGAAGGAGGA